TGTTTTTGTGAGAGCTGGTTTAAAAAGATTATTTTTGAAAAACCCGCTTGTCGTGGGGTGGTGGTCCTTCTGAAGCAGGAGCTGCGGGAGGCACTTGCTTTGGAGTTAGTGTCAATGACTCGATTCCTTCAGGCGTTGGTGTCTCTTCTATAATTCTCCCTTCCTTGGAGCACGCTTTCGTCTCGTAGACGTCGTAGGCAACTCTAACGTCGATCACTGCTCCAGCATGGCCATTATTGTTGGCTAGATATGGTTGACGTGATTCGTTATTGTTACGAGGTCTCGGGCATGCTCTCTTCTCAGTCCTAGGATTTACCAGCCGCGACTTACCTTCAGCGATTCTATCGTTTCCTTCTATCCAGTTTTATGCTATCCGTGTTCATTATTCTGCACATCAACAGAAAAAGTTGTTCGGATTATATGGAATACAGTTTCATTAACCAATGCGAACGAAGAAATATTTCAATAATTCTAATAATATTATTTTCAAAAAAACAGTTCAACTAAATTTGAAAAGTACTTTTATCCAAATATACTTACATAATAAAATATTTTAAGTTGAGAAATACAATATTCTAGAATTTCTACGTAATTTAATAGAATATCTCAATGTGATTTTTTTTTAATATTAAATATTAAATTTTTCATTTTTTTATGACTTTGAAAACGTTTATACAGATATGTTTAGTCATTTATTTTTATTCAACAGAATTCGTGAAATTGATTTAAATTTGTTACTTATGACATTTCTCATACAAAATATAAATGTATTGTATTCAGTGTAAAACCTTCATAAGAAAATAGTGGAAGGAAATAGTTTTATACTTGAAATGTAGTTATTTTTTATTTAGTCACCAATTGTAACCAAAGAGCTATCGACCTAAGTTTTTCCGCCCAGAGACACAGTAAAATATAAATTGTAACAAAAAAAAATGGCGTTCTGAAAAATGTGAAACTTACACATATAAGAAAATATACAAAATATGAAATTATAAATAAACCAAATAGAAGTAAGTATTCTTGAATGAAACAAATAATATATTCTAAAGCATCATTCGGCTGAAGAATGCTAAATTCGTCCGGACACGGACTATCCATCCTTCATGATGAAAGATCCGACCGTCCCCTGAGTCACATCCGTAGGAAACTCTCGCTCCCGAACACATCGAACATTAAAACATAAGCATGATGTCCCGAAAAGCAGACGTGTGTCTCAACATTGAAGTTCTTAATGAATCGTTTTCTCAAGCGCTGCAGCAACTCTACGCGTTTTTCTGCATTCTTCGGCGAGTTTAATTTGTTGATATAAGTGTTAATTATGTGGTCATATAATGATAATGGCCTGTGGATTCTGTTGTTCTGGAGGTCTTTTGATAGGTCACACGTCTTTTTATTGAGTCACCTTACCTAACTACCCGGTATGGGTTTTGTTGGTCTCTTCGGACATTTCGAAGACCATGCAGCATGATCATCCGAGTTGCATGCCATACATCGGGGTATTTTTTAATTGCCAAGATATTAATGTTTAATAAAGTTCTCATTTACATTGTGTAGTTATGTAAAATTGTATATTATATTTTCTCATGTTTCATTTGAATAAATTATACAAATGTTATTTATTGTCACATTTATGAATTGTATGTTTTTTTTTTCTTCCAAAAATTAGAAATATTGTTGGAAATACTCAAGAAAAAATAAATTGAAAATAATACAATATCATTGAAATCTACAATTTTGAGTTTTTTGTTCAATATTTTGTTCCGTTTTGTCTTTTCACTCTTATTTCTTTTCTTTTGCATTGTAATCGTATTAATTTTTTATATGTATTTAATATTATGTAATCGGATAGAAAGACCTATGGTCAATAGCCCTTTGTATCAGTTGACTTTTTTTGAAATTATTTATATTTATTTTGTTTTTTTTATTACTGTATATGTTTTTTTTTTTGAACGACGATGTAACTAATATTTTTTAGAAATGTTTAATATTTGTAAGCAAATGTTTGTATTTTTTAATAAGATATATCTGATACTAATTTACAAGTTTTTCCTGAATAACTTCTGATAAGAATATAATTAGTGGAAGAATTTTAACTAAACTAGAACTACAGCTATGCCCGCGTGGCTCTCGTCGTTTCTCGCTTTGACTAGGTTAGGAACCTCTGATATCCAACTCTATAAAATCTGTTGTACACATTTACAAAAACCACTGATTATCTACGGTTCTACATTCCTTTACAGATGGTTTTCGGAATTTTACGAAAACCATCTGTAAAATTTCTTTGAAGTCATCATATATTCCATTCCGTTTAACAATTAGTCTTTGTCTAATTTACTTATATAAATCAGAGAGTCGAACCGAAATTAATTTCCTTTTAATCGTT